TGGAGTAACGTATGTTTCACACTCGCTTATTTATGAACTTAATCACGGAATTGAAACTTACATGTAAAATCGACTTTTTTATTTAGGAATCAAATGTACATCATTCTATTGTCATAAAAATGCGATTTTATGTTTTTATATATGCATGTGTAAACAATATAAAGTCTGTTTGATAAAAGTAACGTTTGTTTCACTGTGGTTACTTAAACAAGTTAAAACTCGACCAAAGTTATCAAAATTTACTTACTAATGTCAAATAGAAGTTAATGTTGCTGTTATACGTGCTTTCTGACTTCAATTTCCCTTTTGATAAACTTACTTTAAAAAGTTGATAACGTATGTTTCTGTAACGTATGTTTCATTTTTACATTGAAAGTGGGTTAAAAAATGACGCAAGACCGTTTAACCCGCCATAATTTGTGGTTAATATATCAGAGTTACACACATGTTAATTTTCTTTCTTGTTTGGATTCTTCTTTGAATGGATTGGCTCTTAAATAATGGTAACGTATGTTTCTTTTTAAAATGCTGTTGAAAAGATTTGAATAAAAAATGAAAATTTCCGAAAATATAATGATTTTTGAGAGGCTGCAAGCTTATTTTTACTTATAATTATATATATGCTGTATTATTAAGCATGCATCGATTCAATTATGTAATTTCGGTTCCACTTATTATTGTTTTAGGTTTGTCACTATTTATTTATATGCATTTGGCGACATTTGATCATTCATTATATCAATGAGATTTTAAGAGTCAAATGTAATTTTTACCAATAATCAAAGTTCATATACACACAGCAATGACTAATTGCACATGTTTCGTTTATTCTGGAACTTATTTTTCTGAGACACAATTTCAAAGTTGAAAATTCTAGGTGGCGACAGTAACGTATGTTACATTTTAGGGCATTAATGGTACTTGTAAAAGAAAAATAACAGATAGAAAGGTAAAACTGAGAGTGTCCCTATTAGACAAAGTGGCAGCCACCTTTCTAACGACATTTTGACCTCAAGAAAAACCTTCGTATAAGAGCTACCCAGTGGAACATCAAATGCTGTGTCTTATTGAGAATGAGCGATACATGTAATATGAAGATCCATGATTATTTACATGAGTGTCAAACGAAATTAATAAGGGTTACAAACCCTAATTTAGAATGATATGGTTTCTTCAGGCTGTTATCTTATAACTTCCCCGTGGTCGAGGGGTAACGCGCGCGTTAAGGAAGAGAGATGTCCTGAGTTCAAATCCAAGTTAAGGCAACTCATGTTTTTTTGTTTTTTTTTTTTTTTTTTTTTTTTTTTTGTTTTTTTTTTTTTTTTTTTATTGTTTAAGCCAAATAAACAATGAATTACATATCAGTGTTGCAATAAGCCTTATAGCCAATTTCCTTCAGTTATGACACTAGAAACAACATTGGTGGCACTATACAAAAACAAATTGGTTTACAATCTCACAGCCTTCACCTTTCTGACATTCTGAGACCCAAACAAATTCAGCGCCTTCTGTGATTTGATTTAATTAAACATGACCATGATATTGCTAAATTGTACTTAATGACTTGCTTATTATTAACAAAATATAAATATATATAAATTGTTATCAAGTAATGATACTTTTCAGCGATTTAGGTCATGACCTTGTTTTATTTTTTTCAGGGTGAAGCAAAAATACACATCTTACTTTACTTAAACTAAAAGAAATAAAAAACAACAATAAACAACAATAAACACATCACTATATAACAACATTTTCTTTCTATAGAGCGCAACTACCTGATTCTGTGAAGATCGAAGTGTTTAACATACCCTAGGTGATTTTAAATAGGACAAATACATGGAGGTTTTAAATGTTAAGCGTGATCTCTTGAAATAAAGTGCACAAATACATATAAATATTAAAAGTAAGCATTATGATACATTGCAAAACAGGTCCCTGGGTTCTCGTTTAAATTAATAAAATGTATAACTATGAAAAAAATCACTCACATTATAATTGAAATTAAATTTTAATATATTTTATTTTAGAATTATTACAAAGACAGAAATTGTGTGTGTACCGTATCTTTTGAAATAACAGTGTGTTCCGTACCATTTCAACATAACTTTATGAAAATATGCTAAAACATAACTGCATTCACTCGATACATTGGACATAGTAAATATATCAGATTTAACATGTATTTTTCTATGAAATAGTGCCAAAAAACATATGACTTGCTAGAAATTGCTTGTTATGACAAATGAGTGTGTACCGTTCCCCTCGGCCCAGGCTATGAAAAGAAAACTGTACTCGAATGTTCTCAAAAACCATTCAGGGGTTTTCAGAATTTTGATATACCGTGGATAGCTGATATAATTACGGGTACTCTGCGCCTTATCTGATCAAAATCGGTTGAGTAATAAATAAGTTGTGAATAAAAAACATACCTGAATCAGGTGAAAAATCGGCGTGTTCCGTACCCGAAAAGTCACGTGGTATGGCCACATTGTATATGTAGCTTCAATAAAAATCTCAGCTTCCAGGCTGTCTTCCACACCTCATGCTTCCAATGAAGTAATCACTACAGATAACTAAGACAAAAGCTGTTATGGATGGTATCGAAATGAAGATGCTTTTAAAATTCAGTCTTCCATTCTATCTAAACAACAATTTATATATGAATGTTTAATTATGGGCATAACTCTTCAATTCTGGAATTTATATTGACAGTGCTTCTTTATGTTACATACATGTATATCAATAATTTACAATATTCACCTTTTTGATTTGTATACTTTATAATAAGAAATTACCCACATGAAAACATATCTGTAAATATCATCTAATAAGGTGAATCTAATTATGTAAATTACATAAATATACGTCTTCAAATGTGCAATGTGTAAAAAAATGCACCCAGAAAGATGTTTTACCATAAAATAATGATAATATGTGTAATAAATGTTTACATTTTTTCTGATATACATCTATTCTAAAACATGTTTCTAATTTCAATAATCAATAACCACTAATGTACAGAATGCCCATTCAATATATGATGGAATAAGAATGAATTTAAACAAGAGCACTGCATGCACTGTTAACGCTAGTCTGTAAGCGGACAAACTATCAAAAATTAATTTTGACAAACTTTCGAAGTAAAGAAAGAGCAAAACCCCAAAAATATAGCTTTTAGAATTATGCCCTTTGTCTAATAATTGCACCTTGTCATGATAAAGCAAGTATTTCAAGTTCCATATTAATAACTTGTAAAATGTTTGAATAATATGCTACATTAAAGTTTTTGCGTGACGACATCAATGACGACAAGGCAGTGATCATAACAGCTCAGCTGTTTCTACAAAACTGACGTGCTAACAAAATGAAATATAAAACAATTAATAATTACTGACATTAAATCAATATAAATCAAGATTAAAACATCGAAATTACTACAGTTTCAACTTAGCAACTACATATTTTCTAAAAGCCATTATAAACAATATTTCCAAAATTTCCAAATGGCAAAAAGTAACTTTACAAAAACTGTATCTACGAGTAACTGTACATTTTGTTCACTGAAAAATAAAGAGGAAATGTTTCATCATACAATGCTAAAATGAAAATTCTTAGAAAGTATACAAGACATCATAATCCAAGTTTGAATAATATAAATATTCCCTGCAAAAAAAAAATCATGTAAGTGAACGGAAATCACAAAATAATGAATTCTGACCTACTTTACACAATGATATAACACGTAAATTGTTATATGGATTCAATCTTTGATTATATTGAATATAAATGTTCTAGATTTTTATTTGTCAGTTTATTCAGATGCATCATGGCTTTAAAATATGAGTGCTACATTGTATATAACACTTTGTACTAAAATTTAACAAGAGGTACATAGTGATTAACGTGCGAGAGAAAACTCGGAATAAATTTGTCTATTCATGGTGATGTATTAGTGTGTAAATGGTTACATTTGAACAGCAAACATTCATGATACACAATATAAATCTAGTTCACTAACTGCTTATCATTACAAATCTAAATTCAAGCATATCAAAATATGTGTACATATTTGTAAAAAAAAAATACTTTAAGGCCTCATATGCACTAGTCATTTGTAAACACATCTGGAGAATTGGGAGATATCAGAAATCATCAGGGACAGACTTCATACCATCCACATGTCCCCGATATACTTAGAGACTAAAATAAGGATTGGAGCACCACACTAAATACCGTTATAATTCAGCTATATACCGGACAAGACATTTGAATGATTCAATGCTAAAATCTTGCTTCATTTACCCAACGGAATGAACTTTAAAAGGTCTTATGCATCTTTTCAGATCCAATTTATGTATGATATAGAATGAAAAATGTAAGAATCGGCGAAAAAATCGATATATGTCTATTTATTGATCATGATTCCTGCAAGCATCTAGAGGTAATGCTCTAGAATAAAATAGATGGATGAGTCTAATCACACAGTGTGGATCATTTTATTATCTAACTATTGTTATCTAACAAGGCTATAGTTTATCAAAATCCTTCCCCACTGTTCTCCAAACATACAGATAACCGTGGTTACATTTGACATGTGCATTTACATAAGCAACAACTAAATTTATTCCAACCTTTAAACATTTAAAAAAAGCTTTAAAAATACAAAACAAAACACAAAAATTGAACAGAAAAATAAAATTGTGGTCCAATATTATCTAAGCCAAGGTCCATGAAATTACAAAATCAGATCAATATAACAATATAAATGGGCTTTTATCATTCTTTTTTTCTTCTAATTTTTGTACAAAAAATTGTTTTGATTTAAGTTTATTTTGCAGCAGATAAAGGTTCTTTCCTTTTCAGCACTAGAGGTCCTACATTATCACCAGTTTCTTCATTATGCTTGTTATGGCTTCCATCACATATTGGAAACTGTAAATAGAAAAATGATTTCAATGTAAAGAGTTTCTTCATGGATATTTTTACATACAGATGAGTTAGGGTTTTGTTTTTGTTGTTTTTTGTTTTTTTTTTGGGTTTTTTTTTTTTTTTTTTTTTTGGGGGGGGGGTTATATTTTGTTTAATATGTTAATACTGTCTTTTTAATTACTTATATATACTCTAATATATTCAAATACATACAAATATATTTCAGAAAGTTGCCATTGGTTACTTCAACATTTTGGCAATAAAGAAGTAACATAAATCCATTCTGAATGCAGTTTTTGTTGGTTTTTATGCTGATTTTAACACATTTTTTGGGTAATATCTTGGCAGTAGGTCCAACTCACTGGCTTTCCTGAATAACTAATGAGTAATTACCAATTTCTCTCACTTGCCCCTCACCGCTGTGGGTTCGAATCCCGACAGGGACTTTGGATTCTTTTATGTGAGGAAGCTATCCAGCTAGCTTACGGAACGTCGGTGGTTCTACTCAGGTGCCTATTCATGCCTGAAATAATTCACGGAAGGGCACCTGAGGTCTTCCTCCACTAGTGAAGTTGGAACGTCGCCAAATGACCTATATTGTGTCGGTGTGACGTAAAACCCAAACAAACAAACCAATTTTTCTTCAAGTTACCAACTACCAATCCAACATGATTTCTGAATCAGTGGAGACAGACAAATGACCTTAAGACTCAAAGTCAGAGAGACAATTTATAATGCCTTACCAGACAATACAAACAGGGGCTGCAATGTACCATTATTGAGCATCAAATAAAAAATAACTCTTTACCTGTTGAAACTGAAAGTGATATGCTACGATAGGACAAACTTTATTTAAAGGTTGCCCACACCCGGACTTTCACTTTCTGTTGTTGCTTTTCAGGCAAGTTCTGGTTTTAATAATGTTCAGGCAAGTTCTGGTTTTAATAATGTTTCAACAAACTATCTTACTGACTGACAAAATGTTCAAAGAAATATTCCTTCACCATTTCGAAGGAGGCTGGGTGGGGAAAAGTAGGGGAGGCATAGTTACAGATCTAGTACAAGATGTGACAGATATATTCAAACAAGATATGTCATTTGAGATGTAACCTTATCTCAACTTACCTTTTTAGATCTCCAGCATCTGCAATAGGAGACTTTATCACCTAATTCTTCAATATCTACCATATTAACGACCTTTGAACTTTCTTTTTGTATTTTAAGGTTAACACAGGAATCTTTAGGAGCAGGTTTCGAGCGGAATGCTTGATATGTGACATATGAAAGAAGTGACAACATTCCAACAAAGGGAAGTAACTGTAACCATTCTGATCCTGAAAATAAACAAGAAATCGTTATTCTTTAATACATGTGGATTTTTAAATTTATATATTTTAATAAGCATGTGTGCTAGTCAAATTCAAACAACTTTTGACTGATTTATGGCGACTGTTTTAAACATAACAAGATTCAATTTGAAACAGATCCCTCTATGCTGATTTTCTTTATACAAAACTCTTTTTGAAATAAATGTTTAAATCAAATTTAGCATGAAGTAAATTATGTATCATAAAATTTAAGGATACCTTCAATCAGCAGGGAACATTGAAAAGGTTAAACTCAAAACATTAATAACAAGCAATTATCATAGTATTGCAAGCAATCCATAAGTCCCCTACCGGTTAGAACCCCAGCAACATTCTGAAGGGCCATTGGCCATTAGATAGATAGATACTTTATTAACTTAAACTTTTACAAGTTTTTCGTTATAACAAATAATATATGATACAAATTTACAATCACATGACAATGGCATACATAGGAACATTGAAATTAGTGCATAACATAGTGGGAGAAAGTAAACACACACGCACGCACGCACGCACACACGTACACCAACACACACACGCACGCCACGGTAAAAAATAATATTTATCACATGGAGAAGGAGGATGGGTATGTGAATACAGTTGCAATTCAGTTTATGAATACAAAAATTATACACAACCTAGATTTAGTAAAGTTCAGTATGCAAAAAACATTTACTAGTAGATGGTATAAATGATATAAAAAACTAAACAATTTGACTCGCTCTAACAGAAAAAGCTTTATACAAAAAATTACCGAGATTCTTTACTATTTTAAAATTCCTAGATTGCATCAATTCTACAAATTTGTACACACTTGGATGCCTGTAATAATAAGATTTTATAAAAGTCTTTCTTAATTCATCGTAAAATGGGCAAATGATTACAAAATGATATTCATCTTCTTTATCGTTTTTGTTACAAAGTAAGCATTTTCTTTGATTGCGGTCTATTCTATTTGGCGCATATTGGCCTGTTTCAATTCTCAGTTTATGTGATGATAAACGCAGTCTGGATGTAGCAATTCTAAACTTTTTAGGTAAAATGTCTATATAAGATTCAAACCCAAAAATATTTTTAATATATCCATACGATACTTCACTGGTAGATAACTTACGTTCCCATTTTTGTTTAAAAACATCAGTTACTCTTCCTTTAAACAAAATATGAAATTTTTTCAAGTCAACTAAATCTGGATTGTACCATACATAGGAAAATCCGTATTCATCTAAAAGAGATTTAACATTATAAACCCAATTATTTTTATTATTCTTAATTTCAAGTAGACAATCATATAGTTTACTGATCAAGATATTTTCCGTCGATACAGTTTTGCACCAAAATTTAATAATTCTAACATATCTATTTATATACATTGGAAATCGACCTAACTCTCCATAAATACTATTTGTACATGTTGTCATTTTAACATTTAATAATTGTTTACAAAATTTTAAATGAACATGTTCTATTTCTTTCGATTTTCCAAAGCCCCATATTTCGCATCCGTAATTCAAGGTGGCGGCAACAAAAGCATCAAACAGTTGGCACATAACAGAGGGTTTAACGGCATAATGTTTTGTTTTATGTATTAAAACATTCAAAGCTTTTAATCCTTTACCTACTAATGTCGTCTGATTTAAAGTATAAGAGCCCGTGTAATTAAAAACAGTGCCTAGATAATTAAAGTTATTTACAGTTTCTATTAAGCTACCTTTGTATGTCCATTTTTCGTTTGCATTTAACGGGCCTCGCTTTCTGAATACAACAATTTTTGTTTTATCAGTGTTGACTTTAAGCCCCCACTTATCACAATATTCATTTAGCAAATCAAGACTATGCTGTAATTCCACAGGACTTTTACCAAGTAAAACCATATCGTCAGCAAATAATAAAAGAATTAAAGTAATATCGTCAAGAGTTAAACCACACAAAGGACTATCTTGTAAGAACAGTTCTAAGTCCTCTATAAAAAGAGAAAATAGTAGAGGCGGCATTATCTCCCCTTGTTTCAAGCCCACAGCGCATGCAAAAAAGTCTGAGTAAGAGTTACAAGCCTTTACACATGTTTTAACATGTGAATACATAGTACTTCTTAAAATTCGCAAAGCTTTGCCACCTATACCTAGCTTATATAATTTTAAAAATAAACCATTTAAATATACACTGTCAAAGGCACGCTTTAAATCAATAAAGCAACAATAAAGACGATTTTTATCATTTAAGATTTTTTGAACGATAGCATTAAGAACAAAAATTGCATCAGTAGTTGACCGACCTTGACAAAATCCGAATTGCGCATCACTCAATCTACTGTTATTTTCGGCCCAGCATGAAATTCGTTTATTCAAAATACCTGTAAAAATTTTTGATAAACAACTTACTAATGTAATCCCTCTATAATTACGAGCATCACAGGGATCGTTTTTCTTAAAAATAGGTATAATTATGCCCTCTGACCATTTATCTGGAAAGTGCCCAGTACTTAAAATAATGTTGAAAAGATCTACTAAATGAGATGACAATATATCGATACATGATATAAAGTATTCGTTTAAAAGCATATCATTCCAAAAGCTTTATTCCTTTTCAAATTTTTAACAACAGACAATAATTCTTCTACAGTTATTGTACTATCTAGTTCATCAAAACATCCTCCTGGCCAAAAATCATGATTATTTAAAAAATTCTCTGCTTCCTCAGTTTCAAATTGTGATATTTCACTTTGAAGAGACGAAAAATAGTTGAAAAAATCCCTATTTGTTAAATTGCCACTGATATTACCTTTTGATTTATAATTGAATAATCTCCAAAAATCTCTTGGCTTTGAGTGTCTAAGATTTTGTAATTGGGTAATTTTATTTACTTCATACTGTCTACGTTTTCTTTTTATCAAACTTTTATAAAAAGCCTTATTATTTAACATATGTATTCTATTTTCCTCCGTTTTTGATATATTATACATATTTACAGCATTTAAATAAACATATTTAGCATTATGACAGTCATGATCGAACCAGTCAGCCTTTTTAAAAATTGTATTGTGCCCTTTGCGCGTGACTCGCGAGACACGTTTACAAAACAGTGGTTCAGCTACTTTATTAATAATATCAGTGAAAGACTGAACACAACTATTTACGTCATCAGCGCTTGAAATGTCAGAATTTAAAAATAAATCGTTTAATTCATTTAACTGGCCAATAATACCGCGTCTAAAGTCGGATTTTAAATCATCATTCCATTGTATCCTGACTGATTCATTTTCATCAGTATGATCAGGAGATATATGACTACATATTATTGTGAAGGATAACGGACAATGGTCCGACCATTCATTAAAAGGCTGTACGGTAAAATCATCAATACATTCAAAATTATTTTCATTCAATAATAGATAGTCAATCGTACTTGACCCGAGACTGTTTGCATATGTAAATGAACCGTTTGCGTCATTTCTTAACCTTCCATTGGCTAAACGTAAATTACACATCAAACACAGATCGATAAGTTTTAAACCCATTGCATTAACTGTATTATCAATATAATTACGTGGACAAGAGAAATCTGGTGAATAATCGACGTCATCTATGAAATCTACATAACGGTCATTTTCTATAAAATCTTTCTTCGAGCCTACTCGTGCATTCCAGTCTCCGGTCAAGAACAGTTTACCCAATGATTGATACATATTAATATCATTTTGTAATAAATCAAACAAATTTACATTGACAACATTATATGCAGGGGAATTCTCGACCCATATATATACACCTGCAATAAATACATCAGTATCAAAGTTGAAAAAGTGTTTATCTAATTTAAACCATAAAATAGTCACTTATTCACTTATGTTTCTATTTTAAGTAAATTTGTTGAAAAAGTTCTTAAAAAGTGATCACAGGAAACAGTTTTTATGTACAGACAGACAGACGGACTAAAGGACACTGAAGGAGCTGAAGAAAATCCTATAATGATTGAAGAATTTGGAGTAAAAATTACCAATTTCTCGAAAAAAAGTTCAAAAGGGGCATAATTCTGGAAAAAGTCTTGCTAGAGTATTGACCTTTCTCACAAATGTTGAGTGATAAGAAGAAACATATATATGAAGTTTGAAGTAGATACATTCAGAAAAAAAGAAGTTATTAAAAAAAAAAAATTTTTTTCATGAAAATTTTAAGTTCAAGGGAGGTAATTCTGATAAATTTTGTGCTAGAGTTGTAAACCTTGTCACATATGATGTGGTTGATGACTAGCAACTTATATTTAAAGTTTGAAGAAAATACCTTACAAAATAAAGAACTTATAGTGAAAAAAACTTAAAAACTAAAATCAGAAATCTTGAAATTCAGTCTATTTGTTGCCATAGCAACCAGAATTTTCAACAAAGGAAGATAAGAAAAGGATGTGCATAATTTCCAGACTGCCCTCTACCCATATGTCAAGTTTCATAAAAGTATTTTCAGTATTTTTTGCGTTATCACTGGATCCAGGTTATGTGTAAAATTTGCCATATTTTCAGTCTATTTGTTGCCATAGCAACCAGAATTTTTAGCATAGGAAAAAAAGAAAAAGACGTGCATAATCTCCATACTGCCATCTATCCATATATCAAGTTTCATTAAAATATTTTCAGTACTTTTTGCGTTATCGCGGGATCCAGGTTATGTGTAAAATTTGCCATATTTTCAGTCTATTTGTTGCCATAGCAACCAGAATTTTCAACATAGGAAGAAAAGAAAAAGATGTGCATAATCTCCATACTGCCATCTATCCATATATCAAGTTTCATAAAAATATTTTCAGTACTTTTTGCGTTATCGCGGGATCCAGTTTTGTGGACGGACGGATGGACGGACATACCAACTTTTGATATTTAAGAGGTAAATCAGCTCATAAACTACACCTGGACCAAAGTCCATAAGCAAAATCAGCTCATAAAATAAAAAAAATAGCTCTTAATTTGAATT